TTCTTTTCAGCTCTTGTTAGCAATGCCTTTATAGGCAAGCTACTAGGGCAGCAGTAATAGGCTAGGTTTTGCATTTTGAGCCCTTTGTGAATTTTCTTTTTTGTTACTTAGTCCCTAAACTATTGACTTGCTTGCCAAGCAAGTCTGTTTTTCAGCTTCTAAGAAGCTTCCTAAGCAGTTATTGCAAGATTCCTAAGTGAACTACCCCAATTACCCCTTAGTTACCCTGAATTTACCCCTGAACCTCAAATGGGTTATGGGTCAAGTTGACCCTATGGTCCAATTGCACAATTGGGCCTGCCCTTCTCTTCTAAATGGGTTAGTGATCCAAACATCCAAACTACCACTAGTCTAATTAAAATCTGAAGTACAAGAAACATGCAAACCGGACAATCATTAAAATCTAAACTAAAACTTTAATAATTAACTAAATTAGTAGACTCAGTTAATTAACAAACTAACGATACTAAACATGCAAAACTAATAACAAAAAACAAGTGCAAGTTTTTGGAAAACTAAAGAAAAAATGAAAAAGAAAACCAGGAGAAGAACAGATGTAGAGAAAAATAAAAGCTAAATTAAACCAAAAGAAAGAGAAAAAAAGAAAATACCTACTGAAACTCAAACGAATGAAGGAAGGAGTCTGAATCTTCAATTTCTTCGGATTTTCTGGCCCACTACGATATTAATCGTGTGTTCTTAATAAGAACATACGAATAACATCGAAATGGACCCAAATCTTCAAACAAAATCGAACAGGGGACCTTTTGGAAATTAGGGGTTTGCTCTGATTTGAAATTCGAGCAGTTCTAGGGTGATTCGAAAGAAAAGAGAGACGGATTTGGGATGAGGAAGACTTGAGGGTTCTTTGGTGTTAATTTGGGGTCGATTGGTGGTGACGCCGCCACCGGAGAAACTATGGCGACGCTAGGGTTCCGAGTTTTAATCTGATATTCGAGGAGCTCAGGCCGGATTTGAGGGAAAGTGAACGGGAATTTAGAAAGAGGGGGTGAGGAGAATATTTGGTGTTAATTTCATGGCGATTGGATGCCGGCCGCCGCCGTGGGCGATTCCGACAGGCGGCAGGCGATGGTGTTACATGAGAGACTGAAGGGGTTGTGAAAAATGAGTGAGAGGGTAGGGGGGACATTTTCGGACATTAATATATTTAGGATACCCTAGTTCTCGGCCGTTGGATCTTGGAACCTTGACGGTCCTGATCAACCTTAAACAAACGGGGTCGTTTGGATGGGGGAAGTGCTGAACCGGTTTACAGGCGGGTTTGGGCTTGATTTTACCCGGGTTTAAGGCAAAATTATTTGGGCTTGGGGAATTTAATCTGAAATGGCCCAAAAATGGCTTCTTTATTAAAGGCTCTTCTTCCTTCTCTCTTTTTTCATTTTCAAATTTATTAATTACAAAATTAAACAAAAATCTGATTTAAATTCTACAGCTAAATTCATAAACTAATTACTTCCCAAAAATTTAATTAAGTCCTAAATTAGGAGAAAGCTAAAAAAAATTCGAAAATTAAAAAGTTAAAAATGCAAAATGAACTATTTCTGTCATTTTCTTTCAATTTTTTATAACCTTGATTAACTAATTAGCCTAAAAATATAAAATAGGACCCTAAGTGCAGATGCAACATATTCTTGTATTTTTATGCATTAAATAAATTAATCATGCACACAAAAATGCAAACAAACACAAAAATCATGCAATAATTCCTAAAGATCAAATAATTAAAAGAAAAATCCTAATTTTGGGAATTCTGTAGGAGTAATTCATGCGAGGCAAAAATCACGTGCTCACACTTATCAATGGGGTTGATAGAAGTAATATGTTTTTGTATAATTACTGGGCTTTGTATAGTCTTTATTTTATACTCAAAGTTTTACTCTTTTTCTATTTTGATTATTGGGCTTATAGTTTTTATCGTTTACATAAAAAAAACTAAAGAACATCTGAATTGAAATTTAATATAGTTACGTCTGCTTTGTATGGTGAAAGTGGGGTATCTTGAAGAGTTATAATATTCACCTTATAGCATAAGGCAAGCCTTGTTATGCTGGTAATAAGCATTATGATATCTCTCTAATTTTAATCTAGCATCAGTTCATAAACAACTAACTAATTTCTAACTAGTAAAAAATTTAATTAATTTGGTGCAAGCATTCCCAGCTATTATGGAGATAGAGTGAGAAACAATATGGTTTCTCAATGACAAACTTCTATATTTCTCAATAACAATCTTTTATGGTTTATTGTATCCCAATAATCATGTAATTGTTTGCCCCATAATTATCTTAATTGTTATCAGCCTTCTTGTAATGTATTTAGAATAGCAGGTACGTAATTCTATCTGTCATTTACTGAGATATACTAGCTTCTCTTTAAAGTTAATTCTTGCAATCTACAGTGGATATTAGCTACCGTTTAATGGTCTTAATGTCCCCATTTTTTTGGAACTCTTTTGGCTCTCTGAGAATTGTTGTAAGTTGGTTTAAGAGGTGAATTGTTGTTAACATTTTGAGATTAAAATACTCAGGGACATCTGTAAGCTCCAGTGTTGTTTACCTTGATTTTTTATGCGTCCTATTTATCTATCTTTGTTAAATGTGACTGATTTTGCATTGAGATTTTCTGAGTCGCATGTGACACTTGGAAGAACATGAAAGTATATATGCTCTTGTAGATTTTATTAACACTGAGAGCAGATGCAAGTGGTGTCCTACTAGTTGGGTTATGGATATTGATTTGCACAAAATAGATGGTGTATTATTTTTTCCCATTAGAAGTATTGTCAATGTGCAAGTGAGTTTCATACATTTTGATATTTTTGAAACACATTTAAGTGATTAAGCCCAACCAGGCTGCTAAGATTTTTATCTTTCTGTGCGTTTTATTGTTTTCCAGTCAATTTGCAAGCGAGAGCTTTTTTGCGGAGGGAGAGGTTATTAAAGTGATTTTTCTTTCTCTTTTATTTTAGGTGTTTTTAACAATTTGATGTTGGTGCTAAACTAATAGCCTTCTTTTCTGAAATTGTGGAGGGGTGGGTGCTAATAAAAGTAGACTATAGTTTTATTACTTGTTGTCGTTGTTCTGTGGATCCTATTAATTTTACTCCTTTTCTCCAAGAAGATTGGTCATGCTCAGGTAGATCTGTGGTGGACTTGAAGTTGGGTTTGCTTAGCATAAGTGTCATGACTAGGTAAGAAAATCTTATTGGTTTATAATGCATTAGTTTTCAAATTCACTCTTGACGTTTCGGATTTATTTTATAGTCAATACTTAAATGATTATATATTTGAAGATCTAATAAATTTTATTTTTAAGAATTCAAATATTCCATTCAAGGAATGGATGGATTTACTAAGGTATTGCAGGTGATCGCAACGATAAAGCTGCTAAAGAGCATGCATTATTTGGAGTTAAAAGGAAGAATTATATGCCTGCAACATTAGAAGGACAAAGTAGACAGAGGTTAACTCAATCCGACGTGTCAGTTCAAAAGTTAGGAAGGAATAGATTACCGGTGTACGAATCAATCCAATCGTTTTCAAGGGAAGATCTGAACACTTCATATAATATTTCAAGTAAAGGACAAATTAAACAAAGGTCAATTCAATTAGAGGAGCCCATTCAAAAGCAAGGAATGAGTAAATTACCTGTGCCCACATCCATGATCCAATCATCTGCAAAGGTAGATCCTAACACTTTACATATGCTTAGAAGAACACAAGGTGAAGGAGAGAAACAACTTGATATTCAAGAGCTACAAAATTGCCAAAAGGTAAAGACAAACTCAGTCCTACTATCGACGAGTGTTAATCAATTTCTAAAAAAATATGGGATACAAGTCGATGGTGAAAAACATCCTGATAATCACCCAGAAAATGAAGTTAGATTAATGTCCTCTCCTATTATTGATGAGCGTGAAATAGAATTGGATAATTTTGTTGCACAAGATGAAGTTGGTGACGATGAATTTATTGGAGATGAGGATATGGACATCGATGGTGCTGCAGGTGGTATGTCTTAAACCTTATAATTATTTTACATATTTTGATTTTTTCTTCTTATGTCTTGCTTGTTATATCAATCTAGGGACATCAGAGAAGAAAAGAGTTCGAGGAAACACAACATGCAAGAATATTCATGCAAGAAGTTTTGAAGAAAGAGAGGAGGTGACATTTGATAAAGGACAAGCAGTTGGACCAACTGACAAGAGAGTATCTGATTTGACCAACTTTTTAGGAACAATTGCAAGGAATCCAACATTTATACCCTTGGTGAATACTAGTTAGCATGTTGTGTCAAAGGATATTAGGCGACGAATGTGGAATGTCAATGTAAGAATAATCAATTTTTCAATTATATATTTTTTATATTTTTCCTACTAAGAAAAAAATAAAAAATANTACAAGAGGAATATTAAGAAGAAATATTTTGATAAAAATGCTACTATTGAACAAATGTTACAAAATCGTCTCAATGAGATACCTGAAGTTCAATTCCGTCAATTGATTGAGTATTGGGATGACGAAGATGTCCAAGTAAGATTAAACCATGCATTTTTACATTTTCAACCTATTGTTGCAGTATATATTTTTCCTTTTTGATTTATTAATTAATATGCTTCCTTTGTTGTTAGGTTATGTGCCAAATGAATTCTGAAAACAGGAAAAAACAAAAGTGGAGGCATCGAATGGGACCTATTAATTTTGCAAGAGTGCGTGTGGCATTGGTAATATTTAGTTGACACTTTGTAATCTTACTTTTATTTCTTTTTGTACTTTGTTGGAGCAAAGTGATATCTTTTTTATATCTTCTTTGATGTAATTTGTAGTGTACAACCAAAGAGAACAACGAGGAACCATCAAAGTCTGAAATGTTTATTACAATTCGTATAAAGAAAGGGAAGGAAGTTCATACAGATACTCAAGTTGCAATAGTAAGTCATGCTGCAAGTTAAGTCTTGTTATTGTATTTTTATCTTTTTAATAAATGTGTTTCTTTAACTGAAGGAAGTCCATACACATATCTGTAGTTTCTTTTGGAGAGGAGTCCTTGACTCCTCCACTGGTACTACTCATCACATGTGTAGATAGAAGTGATGAAACTATTCTTACATCATTTGCTAATACTTCCTTAAAATGATCCAAGTCAAATATCTCAGAGAACTCACTGCAAACAAACACCAAAAAGAAACATAAAACATACGTTAAGAAATAAAAAACGTCCCAGAATAGCATAAAAATCTAAGTTAGACCAAACATAATGTCACTCTATGGAAATAATCAGTTTTCTACCAAATAATTGAAGTTTTTTTAAAAAAATTGCCTAAGTTCAGAGAATTAGGCAGGGAAATAAACATTTTGTCAACTGAATGAATGACTGACCAAAAAAATAAAACATTTGAGCTGGAAAACAAAGAAAAATGGTTCAAAAATAGAAAAAGAACAAACTTTTCATCACCCCAAATGACATTAACTTGCAAAATAGGAACAACAAGAGCAGCACCAAGAATCCTAGCAATTACCACATAATCCACAATCTGATTTCTTTGCTGATTCATTCCATCAGAAACCACCACCATTAAATATTTTTTCCTTCCTTTTACAATATCTATACTTGTTTTCCTATACTCTGCACTGAAATCCAAACAAGGCCTATAACCTAACCCATCAGGTTGTTGCCAAAACTCACTCTTTTCATCCCCTTCATCTTCTTTTTCCCCTACATTTAAAGCTCCAATACTGAGCTGAGAAACTTGTTTTTCATTTGAGAATGAGCTCTTTTCTTGAAAAATCTCACATGGGTTTGGTGTAAAAGGAACTAAAGTTTCAAAATTAAACCACATCTTTAACATACCAACAAAACCAAAAGCAAAAAGAAACAAAACCCAGAATTTTGGATTATTGAACAAAAGCCTGAGCTTTACTGAAAAAAATGGACTCTTTTTCTTGGGAGAAAGTAACAGAGACTGAAGTCCTGAAGAAGAAAGTGAATTTATTATTTGAGATGGCACTGCTATGTAACATTGTTGCTTTTTCTTATTGCTCTTTGACACTGTCATTTTAACAATGAAAAAAAAGCTCTTTCCCCATTTAAATATATGTAGATTGTTGGTGTGTTTAACTAATGTTTGTTTGAAACTTCATATTAAATTGGTTACGATCCTTGTCGCTGAAAACTCTATTGACATTCTTGGCTAAATTTTGAGGTCTGCTAAACTTTTTTTAATCTAACTTGACTTGTTGAAAGTTATTTTAGTGTTTGTTCTATCTTGACTTGTAAGTGATGTACAATAATATTTTTTCGACAGTCTGAACTTCAGAATCGTCAAAGTTCCGAAGAAACAACAGATGATTTATTTAGGGCTGTATTTGGAAAGGAGCAGCCTGGTCGGGTTAGATGCTATGATAGATCGGTGACGACAAGCTCTCTGAAAAAAGATGAAGAAATCACCAAGCTTAAACAAAAGCATGCCAATGAAATAACTTCTCTGAAGGAAGAAATGAAGGAAATGATGAGAGAAGAAATGCGATATTTTTTTAGTCAATTGGTGAAAAACAACCCTGGACTGGATTTTAATGATATACAAGGGTGTGTTGGATCTAATATTCCTTCACCAGTTGATGCAAGTAGTGCACGAGCTATAAGAGGCCAAAATCTGCCACATTCTTCTGCCTCAACTCACGCCCCAAGTCTTGAAAAGGTATTTATATTTCCCAATTCCAAAAACTACCTCAATCTTAACTTACAAAATCATGCTTTCTAACCAGTGTATACTATATATATGTTTCTTCCTAATTTTTAATTTCATTTTGAATGTGTAGGAAAATACGGGTGACGCAATTGGATATGGTTGTCACAAATCAATTTGATTCATTAAAGTGAATGGTGAAGACCTTTTGAACAATTGGGATGTTTATTTTTATTGATTCTATAAATATGAATACATTTAATTTTGTAGAGGTCTTTGCTAGTGAACTCTTGAACCAACAATGCTTTATTACTATAGACAGTACACAAAGTATGTTTCTTTGTTGAAATTTATTTTAAGTATATGCATTTGAATTATTTTTATTCTATTACTTATTATCTAATTTAATGCTTGATATATATATATATAGCACGTGATTTTTGCCTCACCTGAATTACTCCTAAAAAATTCCAAAATTCAATTTTTTTTTCTTTTGATTATTTATTATTTTAGGAATTATTGTAGAAATTTCTAATTATTTGCATTCTTTGTGTGCATGTTTAATTATATTTTTAATTCATAAAAATACAAAAAATACATTGCATTTGCATTTAGGATTTAATTTTATATTTTTAGATTAATTAGTAAATTAGCTTGTTGTACAAAAATGAAAAAAATCACAAAATAACTCTTTTTGTATTTTTAATTTTTGAGTTTGAATTTTGGTAGTTTTTTCTTTTAATTTGTTATTTAATTATTTGTGTTAATAATTTAATTTGGTTGGATAATTTGTGTTAGGAGTTAAGTTAGGTTTTTATCTTTATTTTTGTAAAAGAAAAGGAATTAAAATAATTTTGAAATTGAAAGAAAAAGGAAAAACAAACGAGGTAAGTCTGATTTGGGCCAAGTCCTTTTAAATTCTCCAAGCCCAATTGTTTAATACCCAGTACCCGTCCAAACCCAACCAGAGCCGGCCCAAAACCCGTTCTAAAAATCGGCCTGCCCCACCAGAGATCCAAACGACGCCGTTTCACACCTTTAAATCAGGACCGTCGATCTCACTTGATCGGACAGTCCAGAACTGAGTCCCCTCTGATATATAACTGTCCAAACGCCCTGTACCCCCGTCTCATCTCTCTCAACCCACCTTCTTCAGGGACCCAAAATAGAAAACCCTAGTGCCGCCTTGGTTGTCCACCGCCTTGGGCCGGTGGCGCCACCTCTAAACCACCTCAAATCCACACCCCAAAACCCTCGTGGCTTCCTCATACCAAATCCGACACCCCTTTCCTTCGAATCATCACAGGACTTGTCGAATTCTAAATCAAAGGTTGGAACTCTAAAATCCCAAAACCCAAATCAGTGAAGTTTAACGAAGGTTTAAGACCAAAATCGGCTTTATTCGTGTGTTTTCGCTTGAGAACAAATGATTAAAGCCTATTTCTTTCAAAAATCAAAGTTTCTTTTGAAGACTTTCAAGCCGTTTTCTACTTGGTTTATGTATTCTTCAGTCCTTATCCTCTCTTTCATCTTTCTTCTGTTCTTTATTTTGTTTGTTTTAAGTTCTAGTCTCCATCTCCTCTTACCTCATCTTGTCCGTTTTGTTCTCGTTTTAAATTAGTTTTAAAATCGAGTTTGTTCGTGCATGTCGTTTTAATTTCTCTGTTTCTTTGTATTATTCCATTTTTCTGGTTTTCAAAGGGAAGAGATCCGATTTTTCTCTTGGGCAATTCTGCCTAGCCAATTGATTCTATATGGGTTTTGGAACCAGAAGCCCATGAACAGATTCAATCTAGTCCTGCAAGCTTAGGATTTTTGATTTAAACCATTGGGTCCATTTGACTGTTGACTCATTTAGATTTCTGGGGTAATTAACAGGACTTAAAGGGGTAGTTTAGGAATTGTAGGTGGAAGGAATCTCAGTAACTGAATTAGGAAGCTGTTAGGAAGGTGTCATTGGAACCTAAGTGAAAGTCTGATTTTTACACTAAGGGTATGTGAGCAAAAATAAAAATACAAAAGGTTTAAAATGCAAAAATGATTTCAGCATTGCTGCCCTAAAACCTTGCCTATAAAGGCATCTTTACTTTACTAGCAAGACAGATTTTAGAGATAAAAATCCTGAAAAATTGAAAGGGCTGAAAACTCTGAAATATCCTGAATTCCCTGCATTTCCTTGTTGAAAACTGCTCAAATTTTGCTTGGTTTTTGGTTTCTGATCTTCATTGCTTAGTTAAAGCTACTGAAAATGACAAAGTCTTGCACCTGGGTTGAAATGGATTGAGTTTTGGATCTTTAAAAGTTTGGTTTGAGTTTTGCTGCTTGGTTTACTATTTCATTGCTGGGATCTGAACTGATTTCTCCTGCTGATGTTTCCTCCTAACCTCAAGTTTGATTTTCTAGTTTTGCTTTATTATAATCAGGTACATGTTCCTGAATCCTATTTAATATAAGGCACGGATTGAAGAATGAAATGAAAAATAGAAGTTTGAAGCATAGCATCAAACCATTTGTTCATATTTTAGCTTTACCTTCTTTCCTTTTCCCTGAATCCTTTTTGTTCTAATTTATTTTGGTGCATGGTATTTCGTTGGTTGTTGACAATACTCTTCTGAAAACTCTATTTGGTTTGTACCTTGGTGGGAGATCAATTTTCTGTCAAGAATCTTGTATCTAGATGTTGGTTTTATAACAATTGAACTTTTATTATTGTATCTGAACTTGGACTGTCATAAAAACTTGATGAAAACTTGTTAGTCGAATCAATAGTTAGATGTTGTGTTCAATCATATTAAGTAGGGTAGGTTGTATTAGATCTTTTACTGTTATGTAATCCATTTGGAGGTTATAACATAGTGCTATGTTCGTGCAATGGGCAACTGATTGTTTCATAAGTAGTAGTTAGTATAAAGTCACGTTAAAAGAAAAGGAAATGGTCTAGGTTATTTTAAAAGTAAAGGCATGCACTGATTTACTTTTGGTCTGCATATGAACATGTTTAAGTTAGAATTGGTATTTGAAATTCAGAATGTTCAGCTAGTCGATTTGTGTTTAAATAGTTAAAATGCAAAAGTAAAAATGTTAATTCAAGGGTATGTTTCATATAGTTTTGTTGTATCTGCATTCTAATTGATTTTGTACCATCGATTTGGTTCTAAAAGTTGGGCTTAAAGTTGGCCCAGATGATGAATATTCCATCTCAGACTCGTTTGTTTGTTTCGAATCCTTGGACGTCATTCCTTATTAAGAATTGGGCTCGTTCAGGCCCAAGCCTGAAGGTATTTGTAAACGGGTCCGTTCAGTTGCTGTTTGTTGAAGCCCTTTTTTTTCCTTTGAGATAATTGGTTTTTTAATATGATGCTTGTTAATTGATAAGTAGGGTCAAACCTTTAGTAAAAATAATAATAATTAGAATTACATTAAACCTTTCTTAGTTAATTAATTGGGCTCTTAAAAGTAGATTGGAGGCGTGCCATATTAGGTAAGACATAGTTTATGGCCCTCCAAAGTTTAGTTCAAGCCCCCTTTAGAAATTGGAATCGAGGCGTGCCGTGCCAAACAAAACTTCAAAAATGCATGACCCTTATTTAATTAATTTTAATCCTTAGAAAATGAGGCATGCCATTTAGTCAAATTTTCCATGGCCCTCGTAAAGTTGAAAGTACGTAGTTGCTTTAGGCGCGTAATTTAAATTAATTTCCTTAAACTCGGGTGTGCATTTCATGTGACCTAAATCCAAACCTCAACAACATTAAATAAAATGTGTCGCGGACTACGGGTGCATTTCATGTGGCGTGGTCCAAAGGCGTGTTTTAGATGACGTTGAAATTTTTCTTAAAAAATAATTAAAAGCGGCTTAATAAGTTAAAATATACCATAGGCTAAAACATGTATTAAAATCAGATAATAGGCCAATTATGATAGTTTAAGCGACCCTAGAACCACGGAATCCGGGGATACCTAACACCTTCCCCTGGGTTAACAGAATTCCTTATTCAGAATTTCTGGTTCGCAGACTTCAAAAGGAAAGTCGAAATTTTCCTAGATTTGGGATTCAAAATAAACCGGTGACTTGGGACACCAAATAAACTATCCCAAGTGGCGACTCTGAATAAAAATGAATAATTAATCCCTTTTCGAATAATGTCACTTAA